AAAAAAAAAAAAAAAATCCTCTATCCTGTTTACATTTGTCCCCATTCCATCTTATTAACCAGCTCTTTTGACAAACTCTTGGAACAAATCTGACAGACCTCCGAAGTCCCAGACTTCCATTTGTGGACTTACTAGCTTCCCCCTCGCCCGCCCACCAGGATGCTCTCACTGTCACCCAAACCCTGCCATCAACTAGACCTCCTGTCTTTTCATTCCTTCTCATTTTTAATTTAAGACATGCAAAACACTTTTATAGCTATGAAGTTGATTAATTGTGTATGTATGATAACTTTGTATTTTGTGAGGATAAATATTAAAGCAGCAGTTTTCAAAGTGTGGTTCCCAAGACTTGGTTTGCCTTTTTTACTGTGTTAACATTTGTGCTGATAGTAGATAGAACTTCTGGCATCTTACCATTCATCAAGTAAGTAGCACCAAGTATGGTCATTTATCGTGTTTTTCAATCTCTTGCATACTCCCAGTTAATTTTTTTTTTTTTTTTTACTTAATAACCTTACTTTCTTGATGAAACAAAATAATAAGGGAGCTATTAAGTACAGGATTTAATTAATATTTTGGGTGACAAAATGAAAACTGCATAGAGCATTTATGCTGCATTTGGGAATACAGGCGTTGTCTCAAGAAAAAAACACTTTCTATAACAGTTACAAGCCATACTAGCCATGTTTTTTCCAGCACGTTTTTGTTGAAAGAACAAATGAGACAAATGTGGTCATTCAGATGTAGCACTTTGGAAGATATTTTCTCAAACACTAACAGAGTGACCCTGTCATTTCAAGAAAACCAAGTGAGTGTATTAGTTGTCAATGATAAAATTCTGGCTTTGGAGAACTTGTATCCACTGTCGAAAGCTTGACAGCTTCCCAAGACTTTGACAGCTTCTTTTCTGATAAAAATTGGTGGTGATATTAACAAATGTGACTTGGATATTGTATAGTGAAATATGTCAACATTTGGAAAGTCTGAAAACTCAGTGAACTAATGTGTTCCAAAAGACCAATGCCTGATGTTAAGATTATGCAAGGATAAAATGTAGATGCAAAGTATCAGACAGAACAATGGATTTTAATACAATAGAAAACACTCATTGGTAAATTCAGGAAGAAAAGTCCTAATTACCTGAAAAAAGCCATTTGAATGTGCTCTCCTTTCCCAACAATGTATTTGTATGAGGACAGATTTTCTTCATATATTTCAACTAAAATAGCACTGCAGTGGGTGGAATGTTGGAGCAGATATACTAGCTGTCTGATAAACCAGAAATTAAAGAGATTTGCAAAACTGTAAAACCATGCCACTTTTTTTCAATTAATTGTTCAGAAGAGGATCCTCATAAAAATGTTATGTTTACTTTTAATAGTTTAATATATATATATATTTTTTAAACTCAGTTTTTTTTTTAACGTTTTTTTTTAATTTATTTTTGGGACAGAGAGAGACAGAGCATGAACGGGGGAGGGGCAGAGAGGGAGGGAGACACAGAATCGGAAACAGGCTCCAGGCTCCGAGCCATCAGCCCAGAGCCTGAGGCGGGGCTCGAACTCACGGACCGCGAGATCGTGACCTGGCTGAAGTCGGACGCTTAACCGACTGCGCCACCCAGGCGCCCCTTAAACTCAGTTTTAATTTCTAAATCAGTGACTACAGATAGATATGACACACAAAAAACGTTTTAAGGTCTTCACCAATAATTTGGGTACAAAGGAGTCCTGAGACCAAAGTTCTGAACCATGGTCTTAGAGGGCATATTCCTGAGAAATGGGATTCCTGATAAATACACCTATAATTTTGGTACATTTTGCTGTAATCCCAACCACAAAAGTTGCACAGTTTTGTGTTCCAAGCAACATATGAGAAAGGTGTCAAATTTTTGCTTGCTTGATAGGTGAGAAATGGTATCTTTATATATTGTCAGTTTACATTTTATTTTCACATGCTAAAAAGCCATTTTCATTTCTTTTTCTATGAACCATTTGTTTAAGCCTTTACTCAAAAACATTTTTTTTAAGTGCTTATTTATTTTTGAGAGAGAGAGAGAGAGAGACAGCATGAATGGGGGCAGAAACAGAGGGAGACACAGAATCCAAAGCAGGCTCCAGGCTCTGAGCTGTCAGCATAGAGCCTTATGCGGGGATCAAACCCACAAACATGAGATCACCTGAGCTGAAGTTTTTTTTAACCTTACATCCTCTTGAGATTCTAAGTTTTGGGGTGCTTCGAGGGTCAATTCTAGTCCCTTATTCTAGTTCCAGTGACTCCCTAGATAATCACATTTCCAAAAATTTAAGTACCTCTCTCCAATTTAATCTTCTACCTACACAGAACACTTCCAACTCATTGGCAATTAAATGCCTAATAAGCACCCCACATTAGCATATCTAAAGCACTATCCAGGATTTCAAACAATACCTTCCTTTCCCCAGCGCACTTTAAAACTGATTCATTTAGAAGCATAATTTAAACCGCCATCATCTCAACTACTTTGTGTTCAGCCCTGCCCCCACCCCCCATCCCCACCTCCTCAGCTCAACCAGAATACTTTTTTAAACCTAAATCAAGGTTTCTGACAACTTCCCTTTGCACTTAGGCTAAAATCTAAATGGCTAAGCAAGTTCTAGATGGTTTCCCTGCCTACATATAATCTCACCTTTATCTTCCCCCAGCCATTGTCCATTCCAGTTATGATAAATTCATCTGTGCCCTTTCTGCTTCCTCACTTGGCAATGCTTTTCTGTCATATTTTTATACTTCTAGTTCTTTCTTCCCTTCAGTTCTCAGCTCAAATATCACTTCAGAGAGGCCCTTTTAGAACTACGCAATTGGAAATACCCTTCCACTATTTATATCCTTTCGTTTTCTTTGTTATCTAATTTTATGCATGAACAAATATATTTGTTGTTCACTCTCCATCCACAAGAAATTACAATTCCTTAGAGGCCCTATATCTGCACCTGACTTACTAGATGCTCAATAAATATTTTGAAGAAATGTTTAAAATCAAACCAGCACAAAGTTAAAGGGAAACCAGAGAAAGAGAGAATAGAGATTAAATATTTTTACAGGAAAAAAAGAAAGGAAAGTTGGAGAATACTTTGTTTTCCTAGAATGTTGACTATGTGCTAAACTGTTACCAACATTTATCTCATTTTTCCTAATTTCATCTTTCCCCTTTGCCCTCGCTTTCTTATTTATTCTTTTATAAGGTTACATTTCGTATATACACTAAAACTTTCACAATATTAAGATCAAGTCTAGATATTTAAAGAAAACCATAAGGAAGGAAATGGTCTTCAGGGAAAAAATCTCACCTTTCTTTGTAATCCTGAGTATTTCCCTTCAGGGAAAAAGCCAGAATAGTGGTGACTGAAGGGCTTTTATCTGTTCAGCTGCTCCCAGGACCTCACCTCTCACCATCATTTAGGAAACCTGTGAAGTTTCAAATTCTATCCATATAATAAATCTAGGATAGTGGTTATCAAACTTCAGTGAGCATTAGAATCATAGGAGTTTATTAAACCAGATTTGTGGGCTCCACCCCCAGTCTGATTTGATAGATCTGGGTGGAGTCTTAATTCATATTTTAATGTGCCAGTGACCTTGGTCAGGAGGTTTAATCTCTTTGGGTCAGTATTTTGTTCTGTCTCCAAGGTCTGAAATGGTGATACTACATTAGTAGCCTCATTATTATTTTTTTAATTAGTGATATAGGTATATAGATATAGATACTTTCCACAGGAAGAAATCCTCCTAGAAGCCATTACCCTAGAATCTCATTGTGTTTATGCCTTAGCCATACCATTTCATCTTAAATCATTAAGTATTTTCACTAAAGAATAATACCAGAGTTCGTTGTTAGTTTTCAGGA